TTACCTCACTTGCGACATTGCTTTCAATGCGATTATGCCTCTAAGTCGTGCTTCCACACGTGGGAGATATAGCCGCATCGAGGGTGTTACAAGTTGGTAATCAGAGCCTTCCCCGACCTTAGGAGCCCCCTGCTTGATCGAATCGTTGGCGTTGTTGAGTCTAGAAAAATGTTTTGAGTCATTTAGGTTTATATATATAGGAGAGTAGGATTCTTTTTACTCCTCAGTCCCTTCGTCGCTCTGGTGAGGCATCCTGACGTAGAGTTTTGACTCTTCTCTTCTCAAATTTCACTAAATTTTTTTAGGATCATGCGGGTATCTTGGAATCGTTCCGATTGATTTGTGACGAGAACATTGTTCTTGGTGCCTCCTATCATTTAGGGGTTGTGGCAGTGTCCTGGAGAGTTGAGCTCCGAGGTGTTGTCGTCACAATTTTATCGTTGCAGTTCTGGAATACCTGAGTTTAGTTTCGCCGACATCGAAAATCTCTTTTATGCAGTTGTTGGTGAGATAACCTCGACACCAACCAATACTGGGGCGGGAGTTCAGGAGTATTTCCATAACTCGTATAACGGATGCTTTTCGAAGGTTGAGGTAAACGATTTCCGAAGATTTCTTGGTTATGTGTTGAAGGATGGATACAGCTGGATGTAGGATTTGCTAGTTTTGGGTGAGATATTATACTTCCCCTGTATCCCTAACACCCGATTGCATAACCGGAAAATTTCAGGAGTTTATAAGTGGGAATTCAAGTAGCTCTAAGGATATCTTTCCGACGGATGTATGATGTGAAATTGGGGTTCGACGTCTAGTGGTCCGCCTATTCACGGTTGGTTTTACAGTGGTCTCGTTGTGTCTTAAAGAGTCCTTGGCTATGCCAACTTGGGGACGGTTCGTATGTCATGTGCACTGCCTTGTACATGATGGTGATGTACGATCGAGCCCGTGTAGGCCCCACCACGAAAACTTCGGACGAAATTTCTATCATATGTTTGTTCCGGCTTATTCCGCAAGTCAATCCTTTGTTTTGTTTTGGATTGTGGTATTCGAGTTGCTTCGAAGTAAAATGTTGATTCCATACCTGTTCCTAAGCGGTGTTCTCATACTCCGATGTGAATACTAATCCTTCATGACAATTGAGATTGTCATTTCAATCCTTTTCTACTGGTGTGCTTCTCTTCAAGTGGATCCGATCATTTCAACATCCGCAAGATCAACTCAAACTCTCTCAACGGTGTTTGTTTCATCCTTCCCAAGATGCCTTTGTTTTCCCACCCTCCCACCCTTGGTTCTTTAAGGACTCGGATTTCTTATTCTAGTATCTATCTTATGTTTGTGAAGTCTCTCCATTCTTTTCCGTCAATGTTCATATCCGGTGATTCTCATGAAGATCCTAACGGAGCCTCAAGTTCATCATTATTCCTTATCTTTATTCTCCGGTGGTTTCAAGTCAAGTTTTGTTGATCATTCCCTTTCCTCATTTCAATGCCATGTCATGCCAGTGCTCCTCTTAATTATTCACCTCCCGCTATACATTTGTCCCGGAGTGCTCAAGATATCTCGAAGATTCATGTTTCCACTCTGTTTTCGTTCCAGCTCTTTCAAGGTTGTTATCTCATTCTAGCCACTTAATTCAACCGGTGCTTTCTCTTTTTTAAATCATTCTACGGTGTATCTTTTGAGTGAGCCCTAACCCACAGGTCTTTTCCCAGGATCTTACCTGACTCTTCTTATTTTCCTGGAGCTATCCTAAATTCTTTTCAAAGTTTGACGTAAGAATGAATTATCATCAATCTTATGTTTTTTCTCCAAGATCTCGCGAATTCTTTTCATCATTGGCTCAACCTCTTCGTTTTGATTATTCTGGAGTGTCTAAATAATTCTTGGGGGTGTTTCTCATCGTCATTCTCTGCAGTTGAAGACCGAAGAAGATTTGCTCTCAATCTTTTCCATTCTCTTCAAGATTCATGGCTCTAGCTTCATGCCATCCTCTCATAATTGTTTTTGATTGTGAGATATTCTTTTCACCCATCCGGAGCAATTCAAGAGTCTTTTCAGTTTATTTCTCCGGAGCCCATCATCTCATAAGAATTATTCATTCCAGCTTTGAGCTCTCGTTCTCCAAATCTTACTGGTGCATCGTTCAAGTGATCTCTAATCAGTTCGTGATCCCTTCGTTCTCATGTATCTAGATTGTCTCAAGTAACTTCGTTCTTTTCAAAATTCGTACCCGGTGATTCTTCCCTAACTTCGTTCTTTTTCAATTCTTATGGTGGTTCGTTCAAGATTTCTCTTCTTTCTTTATCTTATCAATTCATTTGTTGTTCCAATCCTACCGGTGGTTTGTTGAAGACCTTCCCAAGTGACGCTATATCTGTCTTAATCCTTTCTACGAGAATAAGTAGTTTGTCAAATCCGTTTGCTCATCATCAATCTAATTGGTGAAGGATAAGCATAATGCAATTCTTATTCTTGTTTCATCAAGTAAAATCAATTTCTGCTTTTCAGAGTGGTTCATCATATCACATTCTCGGTTCGAGATGTTTATCTTTCCTTCCGGAGCCCCAGGTTTCCACTTTATCTCGTCACAAAGTTTCTTCCAATCATTGCAAGGATTCACCTTGTGTTTCCAATTTCCCTCTCCTTTCGTTTGATCATTCTTTTATTACCGGAGTTACTCATGATGGTTCGTCAAGGATTCTTTTCATTCTTCAATTGTTTTTCAAGATATATCTCGAAGCTATGATCCGCCAAGATATACTTCAAGTTTTCTTCTTCTTGCATTCCATAGTGCAATTCTTGCTATCGTATCATTGGAGGTGGTATTATGTCATTCTTGATAATTTGAGTTCATGTTTCATGATTCACATGTTGTTAAGAATGAGGTATTTAAATCCATCAACCTCTTCATTGGAGTTATCTTGGGTTATATTTCACCTAAAGCCTTCCCTAAGGTTTGTTGCTATCTATGGTGCTCATAAATGACCCAAGTTCTTCATTATTCTCCCGGTGAAATAGCTTCTCGTCTCCTTGTAATATCAATCCAATCAAATATTTTTCGTGAGTGGCAAGTTGTCACCTCATAATTTTGAGATGTCCTCTATAAGTCCATATCAAGCTAATCCTTTTCGTTGTTGATAATCCAACAACTCCGTTCTAGCCTTTGTTGGAAGCGTGCGCTGCCAAGATCCTGTTTTCTACTTCGTTCATTCCATTCCTTTCTCTCATTTCTTCTGGAGGCATTGTGGTGTTGTTCTCTTCACCCATCATCTCGTTTTGTCAAAGATCATGTTCTTTCCTTTGCTTATCCATTCAACTGGAGTGTCGTGTTTTCATTCCAGTTCAATCATATGATCAAGTTTTACCTCCATTCTCAACCGGAGTGATGTCTGAAATCTTTCTTACCCCTTGTGCCATTTTTTGCGATAGTTCTGGAGGCATTGTGTTATTGTTTTCGTCAAGTATCATCCCATCTCCTCAAATTCATGTTCAATTCCTTCCATTTACAGTCGGAGTGCTTTCCAAATTATATCATTCTGATTCACTCTCTATTTTGTTTTGACCGGAGTGGCTTCAATATCAATCCTGTCATTTAAGCTCGTCTTTTTCGCCGAATTTCTGGTTCCTTGTCTAACGGAGTGTTTTCCACTTCGTTCATCTTCATTGTATTCCTTTTCTCTCAATTTGTTCAACCTCGCAAGGTTCTTTGGTTTCACTCACTTGTCAAAGAAGCAATTTAGTTTTGCCACTTCTCTTTATCTTCCTTTTTTCCCTCCGGTGCCATTCTAGATCTCGGGACGAGATCCTCTCATAGTGGTGGAGTGTTGTAATGCCCCGAGACCGTTGCGCCAGGTGTCTTCCAGTTATTCGCTGTTGTTGCCATGTCATTCGCTTGCGTATTGCATCTTGTCATGTCATCATGTGCATTGCATCATCATGTTTTCGAAACTTGCATCTGTTCCGGTCTCCTCGTTCTCTCTGTTGTTCGTTCTGAGCCCAGACACATTTGCACGCGCCCGCGGCACGTCCGAAATAGTATTTTATAAGTGGCCGGAGAATGTTCTCGGAATGGGATGAAAGTTGGCATGCGGTGTTGTTATGTTGTTAGTAGGTCGCCTGCCAAGTTTCATCGCATTCGGAGTCCGTTTGACGCCCCAACGTTAACTATAGCGGCAGTATAGTCGGTCAAACGTCGGACATTTTCGGTCTCCGGAAACAGTCGCCGGGTCTCTCTCTCTCTTCTCAGCCCAAAGCTTTCTGCACAGTCCGCTGTCAACCGCCAGACCCCGAAATCCTCTCTGCACAGTGCATCGACCCCTCGCGCGTGTCCCAAACTTACCCGAACCCGACCCGGACAGTTGTCACCGTTGGGTCCGGATCATCCCCAAACATCTACAAAACATCTCCGTTTTGTTAATTGGACTTCCTAACATATATTTTCTCGTTCGTCCGATTATAATCGTACAGAACGAATACCCCCTAACCTAATCCCACCTGCTATATAAAGAGGCTAACCCTAGTCCTAACCTGTCCCATCCTCCTATTCCCTGCCGCCGCCACCACTCACCATCCCACCTCGGGATCTCCTCCCGATCCAAATTCTCTCCGACCCTCTCCCTTGATTTCCGCCGCCACCCAACCAGTGCACTCCTTCCCAATCCATCGATCCCCTCCTCTGCTCGCTTATCCCCGAGCACCTTGATCCCGAGCGCAGCCACCTGCCCAAACTCCGAGACCCCGCCGCCTCGATCAAGAGCCTCCTCCTCCCTCTTCGATCCAGAGGAGTGGAGCTCCGCCGCTGCTCCCCTTCCCACCATCTCTCCCTGCTGCTCCCTCTTCTCACATCTCTCCCTTTCTCTCCGTGTCTCGCAGGTTGCCATGGATGCCCGAATGCCTCCAGGACCCTGTCTGCCCCGCCGCACTGCGATCCGGCCACCAGGAACCTCCAGCGCCGCTGCCTCCGCCATGGATGCCAGGCCCCAAGGCCCCCGCGCCCGTCCTCATGGCGCCCCGCACCCTGTTCGTTGCTTCAGAGCTTCCTCGCGACGGACTCGCCTCTCGCGCCTGTCCTCGACAGGATCCGCGCTGCCGGAGGCTCTGTAGCAGCCGCACAGGACGGCGTCGACCTTCGCTGCTCGCCTTCCTCCATGCATCCTCGCCGGTCTCCTCCACCTTCCTCCTACGCCCGCACCTGCAAGCTGCCTAGTCCAACGATGTGGCGCTGCCCTCACCTCGTCCTCTGAACCGCAAGCAGCCGTCGCCCGCCTCCTCTGCATCGAGCTCATGCACTCATCCGCGTCACCCCGGTCCCGCGACGACCGTCCTCTGCGTCCAGCGCCAAGTCCAACTACTGCCTGATCCGGTTGCGCCACCTTGTATCCGGCAGGTTTCCCATCGCCGCGCCAAGTCCAGCGTCGCCGTGGCGTTCTCTGCTTCCCCTGCAACGAGCCGCAGCTCCTCGCTCGTCGTCCCGTTGACCGCGCCCCCTCCACCTCCTTGTTCGCTAAGCAGAGGCCCAGCCGCGCCAGATCCACCGGCCTGCTGTTTCCACCACCTTGGGCCAAGGCCCACTGGGTGAGAACCCCCACTGTGCACTGTTGGTCCAGTCCGATTTGGCCCGCCTCTGTTTTTTTCAGATCTGCAATTTGTCTATTTTTCCAGAGGAGAGCATTTTTGCAGGAAAGCCCTTGTGGATCATGCATATAGTAACTCACAATTAGTGCATCGGATTAAAATGAATTATATATGAAAGTTGCTTAGAATTTTGTCTAGTTTAATAATATGCAACTTTCATCCATATTTAAAATATTTAAAATGATGTTTGATTAAATTTGCTCCTATGCCATGTTAAAATGCTTTAATTCATAACTAAATAATCGTAACTCAGAATTTAATAAACTTTATATGTAAATGGGGTAGAAAAATGCCTAGTTTAACATGATGGCTTTACTTTGCATGTTTAATAACTCTAAAATATGATTTAGGGCAGAACAGTACCAAACCGTAAAATATGCATATGAGGTTTTTCCGGAATTGTTGTTTGTTATTTCCGACCTCATTTAAACTTGCCTAGATAGATAGTTTCTTTATGCTTCATCTCTTGCCATGCTAACAACATTTAATCTTGTTGGGTACATAAACGAGAGAGAGCTAAATAAGTCATGTGGTGTTTTCTTCAATATGCAACTCCGTTGCATAATGAGCTCCACTTAATTTGTAGGATTGTTTGTGCACTTTGCCATGCCATGCTTCATTAAACCGGACATGCATCATACTCGATTGTGCATCATGTCATGTTGATGTGTTGGTTTTTTACTATGTTGTTTGCTTCTTTCTGGTGTTGCTTCTTCGGGTTGGTTCCGATAACGTCATGTGTGTGAGGATCTATTCGACTACGTCCGTTTATCTTCTTCATGGACTCGTTCTTATTCCTTGCGGGATCTCAGGCAAGATGACCATACCCTCAAAATCACTTCTATCTTTGCTTGCTAGATGCTCGCTCTTTTGTTATGCCTATGCTGCGATACCTACCACTTGCTTATCATGCATCCCATATTGTTAAGCCAAGCCTCTAACCCACCTTGTCCTAGCAAACCATTGTTTGGCTATGTTACCGCTTTGCTCAGCCCCTCTTATAGCGTTGTTAGTTGCAGGTGAAGATTGGAGTTTGTTCCATGTTGGAACATGGATATTTTGTTGGGATATCACATTATCTCTTATTTAATTAATGCATCTATATACTTGGTAAAGGGTGGAAGACTCGGCCTTATGCCTGGTATTTTGTTCCACTCTTGCTGCCCTAGTTTCCGTCATATCGGTGTTATGTTCCCGGATTTTTGCGTTCCTTATGCGGTTGGGTTATAATGGGAACCCCTTGACAGTTCGCTTTGAATAAAACTCCTCCAGCAAGGCCCAACCTTGGTTTTACCATTCGCCACCTAGCCTTTTCCCTTGGGAGTCGCGCATCCCGAGGGTCATCTTTATTTTAACCCCCTCGGGGCTAGTGCTTGTCTATGTATTGGTCCGAACTAGAGCCACTTACGGCGCCACCTTGGGGAAACTTGAGGGCTGGTTTTAGCTGTACGTAGTGTTCATCCGGTGTTGCCTGAGAACGAGATATGTGCAGCTCCTATTAGGATGTTGGCGCATCGGACGGTCTTGCTGGACTTGTTTTACCATTGTCGAGGATGTCTTGTAACCGGGATGCCGAGTCTGATCGGATTGTCTTGGGAGAAGAAATATCCTTCGTTGACCGTGAGAGCTTGTGATGGGCTAAGTTGGGACACCCCTGCAGGGATTTGAACTTTCAAAAGCCGTGCCCGTGGTTATGGGCAGATGGGAATTTGTTAATGTCTGATTGTAGAAAACCTGAAGTTGACCTTAATTAAAATACATAAACCGCGTGTGTTACCGTGATGGTCTCTTCTCGGCGGGGTCCGGGAAGTGAACACGGTGTTGGAGTTATGTTTGACGTAGTTTGTTCTAGGATCACTTTTTGATCATAGTTTTATCGATCATGCATTGCCTTCTCTTCTCGCTCTCTTTTGCATATGTTAGCCACCGTATATGCTAGTCGCTTGCTGCAGCTCCACCTCATACCTTTGCCTTACCCATAAGCTTAAATAGTCTTGATCGCGAGGGTGTGAGATTGCTGAGTCCCCGTGACTCACAGATACTTCCAAAAACCAGCTTGCAGGTGCCGATGAGACCGTGCAGATGATGCAACCAAGCTCAAGGAGGAGCTTGTTGAAGATCTTGTCATTTGTGCTGTTTCGTTCTAGTCGATCAGTAGTGGAGCCCAGTTGGGGTCGATCGGGGATCTGTGTAGCTTTGGGGGTAGTCTTCTTTTATTTTGGTTCCGTAGTCGGACCTTGATTGTATCTGATTGATGTGATGCTTTATTCATGTAGTTGTGTGAAGTGGCGATTGTAAGCCAACTATGTATCTCTTTCCCTTATGTATTACATGGGTTGTGTGAAGATTACATCACTTGTGACATTGCTTTCAATGCGGTTATGCCTCTAAGTCGTGCTTTGACACGTGGGAGATATAGCCGCATCGAGGGCGTTACAAAGGGAGACCAAAGGATCAGCCGGACAAGCCTTGTTTAAGTCCGTTTAGTCCACACATGTACGCCAAGTGTCGTTCTTCTTAAGCACCAATACCGGGTTAGCCAACCACTCAGGATGAAAAACTTCAACAATGAACCCAGCCGCCAAGAGCCGGGCCACTTCTTCACCAATGGCCTTACGCCTCTCTTCATTAAAACGACGAAGGAATTGCTTGACTGTTTTAAACTTTGGATCAATATTGAGAGTGTGCTCAGCGAGTTCCCTTGGTACACCTGGCATGTCAGAAGGTTTCCATGCAAATTTGTCCCGGTTCTCACGGATGAACTCGATGAGCGCGCTTTCCTATTTCGGATCCAGATTAGCACTGATGTTGAACTGCTTGGATGAATCGCCAGGAACGAAATCAACTATCTTAGTGTCATCTGCCGACTTAAACTTCAAGACCAGGTCATGCTTCGTAGTTGGATTTTTCAAAGATGTCATATCTACCGGGTCAACATTGTCTTTATAAAACTTCAATTCCTCTGTTGCGTAGACGGACTCAGCATAAGCAGCATCACCTTGTTCACACCACAAGGCTATCTTCCAGCTTCCTTCCACCATGATGGTCCCCTTGTAACCCAGCATCATGAGCAGCAGATAAACGTAACAAGGCCGTGCCATGTACTTGGCATAAGCCGGACGTCCAAACAAAGCATGATAAGGGCTTTGAATCTTGACCACTTAAAAGGTTAGCGTCTTGGCCCTGGAGTCATGTTCATCCCCAAAAGCCACTTCCAAAGCAATCTTGCCTATACGATATGCCGACTTACCAGGCACCACTCCATGAAAACAGTATTGGGCGGCTTAAGATTTTTATCAGTCAACCCCATACGATGGAAAGTATCATAGTACAGGATATTAATTCTGCTACCTCCATTCGTGAATACTTTAGTGAATTTGTATCCTCCCACCTGATGCACCACCACCAAAGCCAAGTGACCCGGATTATCAACCCAGGGCGGCTGGTCTTCACGACTCCATACAATGGGATGTTCAGACCATCGCAAGTAACGGGGAACCGCCGGCTCAACGGCGTTCACAGCCCTTTCACGGAGCTTTTGATCCCGCTTTCATAAACTTTGGTGAAGACGTGGTACTGCCCACTATTTAGTTGCTTCAGATTACTTTGATAACCAGATTATTGCTGCTAAGTCCCCTGACCAAATTGTTGATGAAAACCACCTTGATTGCCTTGATTGCCCTGATTCCCCTGGCCCTGGAAACTGGAATTAGAACCGCCACCGCCGTAACCCGGACCATGAGAGCCGGAACCTGAGCCACCGCCCGATCCATGGATCCTGGAAAAGATGGGAATTCCTGAATTCTTTCATGATGTAGCAATCCTTCCATAGATGAGAGGATGGCTTCTCACGCGATCCGTGCTTCAGGCACGACTGATTCAATAATGCTTCGAGGTTGACTTTTGACCCTTCAGCCTGAGCCGGCTTTCCCTTGCGTCGATGATTATAATTTCATGTGCCAGTGTTAGCCATGAAGTCCAAATTCCTATCAGCTCTGCGCTTACCATTGCCGCCCTGCTGCCCTTTCACACCGCTACTCTTCTTTCCCTTACCCGGTTTTTCCTCATCAGACTCGGGGTCCTTGGTACTATCAGAGTCAACAAATTTGGCAAGAGCCGCCATGAGCTCCCCCATATCATTACAGTGGCGCTTAAGCCGCCCAAGCTTCTGTTTAAGGGGCATAAAACGACAATTCATTTCTAACATTAAGACCGCTGAGCCGGCATTGATGTGATCCGATGAGTGCAGGATAGCCGAGACCTGGCGCACCCAATGGGTTGTTGACTCGCCCTCTTCTTGGACACAGGCGTCCAAATACACAATTGACATAGGCTTCTTGCACGTATCTTTAAAATTCTGGATAAAAAGGGCTTTTAACTCGGCCCATGACCCAATGGAGTTGGTTGGTAGCCCTTTCAACCAAGTACGGGTCATTCCTTCCAACATCATGGTGAAATACTTAGCACGTGCAGCATCATCAACATCCAACAGCTCCATCGCCATCTCATAACTCTCAACCCACGCTTCAGGGGGTAAGTCAGTTGTGTAGTTGGGCACCTTACGAGGTCCCTTGAAATCCTTGGGCAAACGTACGTTATGCAAATCCAGCACTAAACATGGCACTCCCAAGGTTTTGGAGGTTACACCTAT